CCGCCACTTGCATTCGTGTGCTCTCTTTCTTTCTCTCTAAAAAAAGGAAAAAAGCATTGCTGAGCTCTGGGACAACTTCAGGCAGCCTAACATATGGTTAATTGGATTCTATGAAGGAGAAGAGAGAGAAAGGATATTTGAAGAAATAATGGATGAAAACATTCCAGACTTAATGAAAGCTATAAATCTTCAGGTGTAAGACCACAATGAACCCCAAACCCAAGAAACATGAAGAAAAAAACACCAGGGTACATCTTAATCAAATGGCTTAGAAACCATGATAAATAGAAGATCTTAAAAACAGATAAAAATGTTACATACAGAGGAACAAAGATAAGAGTGGCATCAGACTTCTTATCAGAAACAATACAGTTAAGAAGAACAGTGTCTTTAAAGTACTGAAAGAAAAAACAAAACCTTGAGAGGTTTTGTCTTAGAATTCAAAACCAAGCAAAGGTATGTTTCAAAAACTAAAGGCAAAATAAAAACATTTTCAGACATACCAAAACTGAAAGAATTCAGTAGCCCTACAGTATAAGAAATGTTAAAAGACATCCTGATCATTAAAATATCTTTAAAAGATAATTGGCAGTTTAAACAAAAATAACAGCAATGTGTTTGAGGGCTTATTACATGTAAAAGTAAAATGTATAACTGTAGCAAAAAGGTCAGGAGAAAGGAAGTAGAACTATACTGTTAAAAGGTTCTTTTTTTTTTTAAGATCTTAGTTATTTATTTGACAGAGACACAGCGAGAGAGGAAACACAAGCAGGGGGAGTGGGAGAGGGAGAAGCAGGCTTCCCGCGGAGCAGGGAGCCTGATGCGGGACTCGATCCCAGGAACCTAGGATCATGACCTGAGCTGAAGGCAGATGCTTAACGACTGAGACACCCAGGCACCCCTGTTAAAAGATTCTTATACTATATGTGACATTGTATGATATCACTTGAAGGTAGACTGTGATAAGTTAAAGATGTATCCTATCAGCCCTGAAGCAACCACTGAAACAACAAAACCGAATTATAGCCCATCAGACAACACAGGAGAGAAAATAGAATAAAAATAAACTAATCCAAAAGAAGGCAGAAAAAGAGGAAAAAAGGGAACATGGAACAGATGGAACAAAAACAAATAGCAACAAGAGGGGCGCCTGGGAGGCTCAGTTGTTAAGCGTCTGCCTTTGGCCCAGGTCATGATCCCAGGATCCTGAGGTCAAGCCCCGCGTTGGGCTCCCTGCTCTGCGGGAAGCCTGCTTCTCCCTCTCCCACGCCCCCTGCTTGTGTTCCCTCTCTCACTGTGTCTCTCTCTGTCAAATAAATAAATAAAATCTTTAAGAAAAATAAATAGCAACAAGATATATTTATACCTGACTATGTTAATAATCCTGTGAAATGCAAATAGTCTAAATTCCCCAAATTAAGAAGCAGAGATTGTCAGATGGGGGAGGGGGGCAAACCCAACTATATATTGCCTACAAGAATTGCTTTGTACATAGACAAATAGCTTCAAAGTAAAAGGATGGAAGAAGACGTATTATGATGGCATTAAACAAAAGGAAGCTGGAGTGGCTATATTAATATCAAGGTATAATTCTCAGACCACATTATGATTAAGTTGGAGATGAATAACAGACCTTGGGAAAATTGCCCAAGCATTTGAAAACTAAATAACACAATTCTAAATAACCCATGGATCAAAGAAGAAATCAAAAGGGAAATTAAAAAGTATTTTGAAGTGAATGAAAATGAAACAACAACATACCAGAATTTCTGGGATGCTGTGAAAGCAGTACTTAGGGAGAAATGCATAGCACTAAACACCTATATTAGAAAAGAGATATCTTAAATGACCTCAGCTTCTACCTTAAGAAACTAGAACAAAAAAGAGCACATTAGACACAAAGTGAGTGAAAGAAAAGAAATAATAAAGATCAAAATGGAAATTAATGAAATAGAAAACAGAATAGAGAGAAAAATCAATAAAACAAGCTTTTTCTTTGAGAAGGTCAGATTGATCAGGAAAAAAAGACGACATTAATGACCAGTATCCCGCATAAAAGAGTAACACTACTACAGAATCTACAGACATAAAAAGTATAAGGAAATCTTTTTTTTTTTTTAAAGATTTT